TTTGCATCAGGACTTGCGCAATCGCCTGAATGTCTGCGCATACGGAGCCCTGAACCCTAAACCAGAGAGAGTGAGTGAGTGAGTGAGTGAGTGAGTGAGTGAGTGAGTCGAGATCCCTACATGATCGGTAGCCGATAGCCGTCCCAACCCTAAATCTCAGTCCCTCTAACACCTAAACCCTCAAGTCTAGAACAGTACTACATTCTGGCCTAACCATAAGGATCCTTGAACCAGAGATAAGGACCCCTTAAAAGGCCTCCTAGGAAAGAGGCAGCTCAGACTCAGCCCGTGAACTGCTCCACAGGGCCCTTCCCGGTCTGGAGCTCGGCCGCGATCTGTCCGATGATGGCAAACCTTGCTGCCAAGGCAACATGAAACACCCCACCCCCACACACACACACACACACACACACACACACACACACACACACACACCCAAGGCGCCCAGTATGGAGCCCTTATGATGATGACTGAATACCCTAAGGGTCCATGTACCCCAAATAGCACATACTTGGCCGCAATGTACCTATATAGGGACTACTTCAAGGCCAAAGTACATACTATTTAGTACATGGACCCTTTAGGGATATTGAATCCCCTAAACCCTAAACCCTAAACCCTTAGGGATATTGAATCGCGGCTATTTGGGCTACAATAGAGGTCCTTGGATGTGGGCGTCAGCTCTCCGAGCGACAAGTCGGTTTAGTATGGGGTTCAGGGTTTAGGGTTTAGGGGTTTAGGGTTTTAAGGCTTTAGGGTTTTAGGGTTTTAGGGTTTAGGGTTTAGGGTTTCCGGGTTCTCAAGTCCATCGGTTACCTTCCTGCAAAGTCCGTTGAAGCCCGAAGACATACGATCTACGCCTGGACCTGAACCCGAAAGCCAAGTAAACCCTAAACCCCAAACCCCAAACCCCAAAACCCTAAACCCCAAAAGGGCCCAAGATCCCCAACGTCTCAGGGGCTCAATAGAAACCCTCTATGCCTTAAAGTCGAAACCCTGAGCCATCTTATGCTAAGTAGGAACCCTAGTTAGATAGCAAAAAAAGAGCGCGAAATGTGAACTATCCCAAAGGCACATCCAACAAATCCCAAACCAAAAACCCTCAGCCATCTCATTGCCCAAGGGACATAGCCATGCGCCCATTGTTCAGCTCCTTTGTGCGCATCTCCGAGGTGAACTGGTTCCACTTGAACGGATCGCCAAAGCTTCCCGGCTCCTTCACGGGCTTCCATGTCACGGCCTGACATTTATAGGGTTTAGGGTTTAGGGTTTCGAGTTAAGGGTGGTTAGGTTGAGGGGTTTGCGGTGTTGGGCTTTAGGGTTAAGGGTGTCGCTGCCTCGTGGCCCGCGATCAAGAACATAAGCAGAGAGAACCCTTCCATGCCCTTCGTAGTGTTCAAGGCCGCCAATCCGCTTGGCACATCTTCAAATCCCGGGAGCTTCACAAACGTCGCAAACAAGGACCCCGTCGCGGCCATCATAGCAAATCGGCCGTGCCTTAGGAACCGCGTTCCGCAAAACCCATTACAATGCCCATGTTCCAAGTGGGCATGTAGTCACATGCACTCACTACTCTCCTGCAGGCTTCATCGGGTCCCTGGGAATTGACTAAGCATGATGCGCGATGCATGAGACTAAGCTTCCTGCTTGATCTCCGCAGCTCGGAGGTGTTTGAAGCCCGTGGAGTCACCTGAGGGCTTTTGCTATCACAGCGTCACGGGCAAATTGTGGAATTATGGTTTAAGGAGGTAGGGTGCAACACAACCCAGGCGTGTAGCTTTATAGGCCCCCGCAAGGCTATGCTTTGTAGTATGACTTCCTCAAGGCTTTCTATAAATTTCTCAAACCCCTAATACAGCCCTCAAAAGTTAAATCTTGCAAAACTCGTGTAGAACCATGTTGAATCTAACCCCGACCTACCACTAACACTTTTTACCGTACAAAACCCTGAGCCCTATAGAAACACCACACCCTAAACCCCTTGAAGGCCCGACGAAAACCCTAAACACTAGACCGTAAAAGCCCTAAGCCCTTAAACCCTAGAGCTGCCAACAAAAACCCTAAACCCAGAACCCTAAGCCCAAAACAGGCCCGACAAAAAATCCTGCCTGGGAAGGTCATCAGTCCGCTGCTGCTGAAGCCCAGCGGGTCGAAGAAGCCTCAGAAGTACTTGGAGGTTCCTTTAAAGGGACCTCGGTTTAGGGTTTAGGGTTTTGGAGGTTTCTTGAAAGGGATCAGGGATCAGGGTTAAGGGTTTTTGGAGGTTCCTTTAAAGGCAGGGACCTCGGTTTAGGGTTTCGGGTTTTGGAGGTTTCTTGAAAGGCAGGGTTTAGGGTTTTGGGGGGTTCGTTTAAAGCGATCTCGGTTTAGGGTTTACGATCTCGCAACTCGGACTCCGCCAGACGAGGTCTCTTGTGTCCAACTAAGTGTGCCTCTACCAGTCTAGGGCGCAATCGGTTTAGGGTTTAGGGTCTTGGGCTTTGGAGGTTTCTTGAAAGGGATCAGGGTTTATGGTTTTGGGGGTTCCTTTAAAGGGGGATCTCGATTTAGGGTTTAGGGCTTTGGAGGCTCCTTGAAAAGGATCAGGGTTTAGGGTTTAGGGTTTTGGAGTTTCCTTTACAGGGATCTCGATTTAGGGTCTAGGGTTTTGGAGGCTCCTTTTAAAGGGATCTCTAAGGGTTACCTTAAGGGTTTAAAGGTTTTTGAGCTTCATGGACGTGGGGTTATAAGCAGGGTAGCTACTACTGTAGTTATAACCCATAGAAAGGGATAAACCCGAATCATCACTTATAACTACCCATGAACCTCCAAGTGGCACAAATCCGAAACTTGGAAGACGTGAGGTTAGGGAGATTGGGGTTTGGGGCGTTTGGGTTTTTGTTAGGGTGTGGAACGTGTGGATTCAGGGTTGAGGGCTTCGGCTTTCTGATGTAGCTATAGCCGTGATATACCAGTAACAAACTTACTTCCCATAGCCAGAACCAGACTCCTAACGACCATAGTCGTGGTAGTACTACCCCAAAGCCTACACTCTCTTAAACACAGAAGCTGAAACCCTGCCTAAACCGTGCGTCAACACTCAAACCCTGAACCCCTAGACCTTGCTGTAACGCTTAAACTAACGCCATAAAGTCTTGGGCCCAAGAAGCCCAGGGGAGCCACAGCACCAGGCCTGAGATCAGATGGGGGCAGCTTTCAGCTTCCGCTTTTCGGTTTCTGTTTTAGGTTTTGTGCATGTGTTTTCTTGAGTGGGCTTAGCGTTTCAATAGATCAATTCGGTTGAGGCTTCTCGGTTGTTGAATGGTTTCCGGGTGAACTCTGACTCTAAACCCTAAAACCTCAAAGGCGTACTAAACGCTAAACTCTAAACTTTAGGCTGGCTAAAGCCCAAAAAACCATCAAAAGTGTACAAACTCACTGATTAAGAGGCTGCTCCGAAGGAACCAGAGGCACCTCGGGCGCCTCAAAGCGGAAGCGGCCCTGATCGTCCTTCGCTTCAGGAAAAGGCTTCTTTGAAGGCGCCCTTATGCTAGGGTTTAGGGTTTAGGGTTTAGGGTTTAGGGCCTAAACCCTAAACCCTAAACCCTTCCAGGAACCTTCGTAGCACCCTTGGCGGAACCATTATTACCGGCACTTGGAGGTTCATGGGTAGTTATGAGTAGGCTTACAAGTAAGGTAACTATAGTTATAACCCATATTAGGGGACTTATAACCCCACTTATGACTAACCATGAACCTCCAAGCAAGGAGTCGATGAGGGTTTCAGCACTCACTCTCGGACAAGCTTAGGCGAGGTTCCTGGTACACGACGACTGCACTTTGGCACCAGAGACGGCCGGTATCACCATCTCCAAAAACGTTAACTGTTGCCCTTCGCTCCAAGCTTTACAGGCACTTCAAGGGCTACGGCAAAACACTGGATGAGGGTTTAGGGTCTCAGGATCTTCTTGGCTTCCTGCATGGCCGGTTAGCTTGACCTCGCTGGTCTTGCACATTCATAATGTCAATATTTCCTTAGGGGCTGAGTACCCTAGCCCAAAAAAGGTTAACCTTTTCAATTAATTACGGTAGGATTATATAAACCCCAAAAGGTTAAAGGTTACCTACTCAGCCACTAAGTTTCCGGTTCTAGAGGAATCTAGCATTGTTTTATCCGCTCCGCGTTGTGCATTTTGAGGGCTTCGGGTTTTGGGTGCAGTTTTGGGGGGGTGTTTCGGAATCTAGGGCCTAGAGGGCTTTCGTGCTTGGGGGTTGGGATTTAGGGTTTAAGGTTAAGGGTTCAGGGAAATTTAGGCATTGTGGCTTTAGGCTTTGGCGGTCAGATCTCAGATGATTCGCGAGCATTATAGTTCCCTAAGGGTCCATGTACCTAAATAGTATGTACTTCGGCCTTAAAGTAGTCCCTACAAAGGTACATTGGGGCCAAAGTATGTACTGTTTGGGTACATGGACCCTTAGGGATTTTGCGCAGTGGGAGTTTCAACATCAGGGACCAGAATATACGCGCCAGGCTTGGCGAACCCCCTCCACCCTCCCCCCCCGCCCACCCATGGAAAAAACCATAGAGCCATTTACTTGGTACGTTTCTTAGCCTTGAGCGCATAACGGATGAACGATTTCGAATCCCACAGAGGCTTCCGGTTGGATTTCGTAATCAGTCAGAACGCTTTTTCCGGTATTCGTTTTGAGCCCAAGGTGAGCGAGACAGCTTCTCCCTCACATGGGCTGAACAAAGCATTGGAACGGGTACCCCTCTTCCGGCTTGTGGAGCGGGGAACGCGTCAAGGCGGTCGAGAACCCAGAACCAACACATGAAGACCCAAACAAGCGCATCCCTGTCGTAAAGCACCACCCTGCAAACAAGGTCTCCCTGAAGAGGACCCTACCATTATGAAACAGGCCCAGTGGCAAACCTCGATGTATTCACTCCAAAGCACGAACCCAACCGGTGCACACCTTTACGAACCCAGGCGAACGCCCTATATGCTATAAATCTAGCCAAAGTAGGCAGCCTAAAGAAGGAGGCTACTGATTGTGTATGCCTCCAGGCCAAACTCCTCTTGGCGAAGAGTGCTCAATAGAATCCCAACACAACCCGGTGTCGTCTAGACCCCTCAGTTAGCCCATAAGTCCCCAAATCCTTAAACCGTGACCCCTTGCACCCTTACTTGGAGGTTCAGGGGTAGTTACAAGGGGGTTATCAGTAGGGTAACTATGGTTATAACCCAATTAGGGGACTTATAACTCCATTTATAACTACCCATCAACCTCCAAGTAGTGACTTTAGTGCCCTTCAGCCCTTGAGCCCCTAACCGGTCCTTCGTCAGCACAGCGCCCCGGCTCACCTTTGCCCGGCTAGCAGCCGAAGCACCGGCGGCTCCCAGCACAAGCACCCCAGCAGCCGAGCCGAAGGAAACGATGGAGGAAGTCGTACTTCGTGCCTGAGGTCCTGCCTGACCACTGTTTACGGTTTTAGGCGTTAGGGTTTTTTGGTGCTTCGGGAGTTCATGTGCTTTACAGGTTTTTGGGCATGAGCTTTCAAACTTTCGGATTCAAAACTCACGTCAGTGCTGTCTAAGAACCTGGGCATGGTGCTTCTCTTGGTTCCACAAACGTAGCCAACAAGGGAGGGTAAGGCCATACTGCTACTACTGCTACTACTACTACTACTACTACGACGTCAGGATGCTACTGTAAATTCAACATGTACTCGGAGGGTCTCTCATTGGCCCAATGACCGTATAGAACAATCGCAGGAAGTGATTGTAACAAGGTGCAAACATGTCAGGGGACATAGTGAAACTAGACTACGAAATACTTACAACTAGACTTGTCTCCTGCTTAGCACGCCCCCGGTTAATCCAAGTAGGAATTTCGCAATGAGCAGTATACACACTAGAACCTGTCTGAAAACCCTAAACCCTAAACCCCTAAACCCTAAACCCTCATGGGACAATCGAAAAACGTATCCAGGGGCCTCAAGCTCCGCTGCGCAGCATTGACTCTGAACAGGACCCCGACAATAGGCACCACCGGAACTGGAGAGCCTGTTATAGAATCGGGATCGACACATAAGAAGATGTAGGGGCCTTATAACAAGTAGAATAAGGTTTTGGGCTTGAGGGATTAAACAAGCTCTAGTGCTTGGGATTCCTATAGTCATACTATATACCACAAAACCCTAGTCCAATTGTCAAGGCCGCTGTACCAAACCCTTAAACTAGGTCCCTCTAGGAACAGTTAAACCCATTCCAGTTTTTACGGCCCCCCAAGAACCTGGAACAGCAGTGTGCTCCTTGGTAGTTGGGTAGTTTTGTCAGAAACCCTAAGGCCACAAACAGTGAAAAAGTGTCTAGCAATTAATACGCCCACAAACCTTTTTTTGAGCAGGGACTGCAGAAGCCCTAAACTCTAAATCCTGCAAGAATAGACTTCCTAACCCCCTCTGTTCATTCCATCAATGTACCCAAAAACCTAGATG